GATGTTCATTTCACAACTGGCAATAAAGATCTTTGTAACAATCTTTTTCAACTTCAAGTGCAGATCTTAACTGCTCAATATATTTTTGAGCATTCTCCAGAAGCTCTGAGAATTTAGAACACTGCTCATGAGACTTTTCTAGCTCAACTTCAAGAGAAGTAATTTGAGCCTCCATATCTGCAAGTTGCTGCTGATATTGAATTACTGTACTCTCAAAGTTTGCAGAAGCAGAAGCAGAAGCAGAAGCTGCAGGATCTTTTAGAAGGTTAGCATCTCTTGCCTTTTGGAGATTTTCAAGGTTAGCTGTTCAGGCTCCAGCTCCCCTTGGGGGCATGACTGGTCAAAAGGTAAAAATGTGAGGAAATTTGGTGAATTGTAACTGTAGATTGAAGTTTTGAACAGTTAGAGCTTTAATATACTTGAGAAACATAAGGAAATTAAAACTTACATGTTTTTAGATATCAAGAACTGCAATACCAGGATATCAGTCCAATCAGATCAAGATCAGATCAAGATCAGAGCTAAATATTGAAGGCTAAGTATAATTTAGAGGTAGAATAGGCTTGTTTACCAACACTATATGACTAAATGAACAATATTTGATAGCTAGGACAGATGAGAGAACAATATGGTGGAGGTAGAAGTGAAAGGAAGTCAGATTGGTGGATGAGAGCTGCTTACAAAGCAGCTCTCAGGCTGAATTTGGCAGCACAAGAGGACTGTACACTCCCCCACATACTCCGCTGGAATCCGGTGGAATTTACTGGACTCCACCGGACTCCACCGGACTCCAGTCCAGGATTTTTCAGTGTGACATAGGCCAAATTTGTTAGTCCAGTCCACTGGAGTCCAGTGGAGTCCAGTAAATTCCACCGGAGTCTTTCCGGACTCATTCCGGCAGACTCTGGCAGACTCCAGTGGACTCCAGTGGACTCCGGCAGACTCCAGCAGATTCCAGCAGATTCCACCGGACTCCAGTGGACTCCAGCAGACTCCACCGGATTCCAGTGGACTCCGGCACCTTAAGTTAAACACTGATTATCTAATTAATAAAAAATATCTTAATTATAATTTTAAAATGGCATCAGTGGGGGATTGAACCAGAGACCTTACCTATGTATTAAGGTGGCGCTCTAGCCAGTTACACTATAACAACTGTACTTATCATAATAAAATAAATATATTATATACACTCCCTGGCCCTACTTCCTAAATTGGTTGTAGCTGGGTTTCAACTTCCAACCCTCTGCCCACTCTCGCTTCGACGACCACCATGGCACCTCATACCACCCGATCTCACAACCGCAAGAGTACCAACGACGGCCCAACGACTCGCGGGT